TCTCTCAATTTACCCACCCCCCATGTTTGTGTATTCTGAGGGGCTCTGTGAGACCTACAGGAGGTGGAGGCTGCAGGATGATGGCAGAGGACCACAGACAGTGAGGTCCTGGTGCAAGGCTCTGCCGGGACCCCCAAACCTGAAGGGTTCTCACCTCCGCCTCTCCCCAGAGACCCTGCCGTTTTCCTGTGGAAGATTTGGTCAACCTTGACCCATATATGCCCGTGGCTCCACCACAGCTGCGGCCCTTGGGGTTAAACAATGCCCTTTGTGGAGTAATCTGGGGCTGGGGTGTGATAGCTGAAGGGGGTGACCTGGTCCATTCAACTCCTCCTCTAGTAGGAGGGTGCAGCCAGCCCCTGGGAGGGGAGAGGGACGGCCCAGTGAGGCGTGGGGATGAGTGCTAAGCAGGGATAAATCTGACCCTTTGCAAAACCATCAGGATAGTGTATGAAGGGTGTGGAGATTTTCCATAAATGTAACATGTACCCACCACAGAAAATGCAAAGCGAGGAGGCAGCAGTAAAAAAGGGCTGGAGTTTCCAGCTATGAGCTGGACTCTGCTAAGAGGAGACTCACAGTCCGAACCTACAGCAAGTAGCTCACAGCCTATGGGGGAGCCAGGCCTGGAAACATCCCCAGGGGAAACTGCAGGGGGTGGGGCAATCCAGAGGAGAGAGAAAAAGTCCCCTTGTGGGGATCAGGGAAGGCCACCTAAGAGGGGCATTTGTCCCAAGCCAAGAGGAGGAGGTTTTGGACCAGAGGAGGGAGAATGCCACTTGGGGGGTGGTAACTGGGTGAGCAAAGGTGGGAGGCTGAACACAAATTTCCAGTCAGCTGCCCGCTCGCAGGGCAGAGGCCACAGGGCAGAATCGGAGGTCAAGGGTCTGGAGCAGGCTGGGGTCTCATCCAAAGCCTGCTGAGTGGTGTTTGGATTTTGGAGATGATGTCAGGGGTGTCTGGGCTGGGAGACAGTGGTTAGAGCCGTGGCGGGGGGGACCGTGGGGCACAGGGGGAGGGAGGACCAGGGTAGGGGCGGCTGATGCCCCCAGCTCTCTTGGCCCGTCTAATGCTGGGGCCTGGAGGCCCACCCTGAGGCTCATCTAAGGCTGAGCAGGCATGTGCCGCACCTTCACCCCGTGTCCCCATATCCCATGTCCTGTGTGGTGCCCCCTTGGCTTCCTCCTCCCTCCTCCCTACCTCCTGAGGCACAGCTACCAGCTCCCTACTGTGATGGGAGTGATTAGATTAGAAGGTGATTTGGGGTCTGATTATCTTGGGTGGAAATTGGCCCCCTATGTGTTTTTCCATCCTGCTGAGGGCTGGGGAGGTGGGGAGCGGCATCCTCATTACCAACGAGGCAGAGAAACTTCCTCAGAATACATTTGAGACCAGGGTATGAGGGCCTGGCTTCCTGGGGTGGGCGCTGGTAGGTGACAGAGAGGATAGGCTCAAGAGAGAGGGGAGAGTTCAAATCCCGGCTCTGCCCCCACCAGCCAGTGACTCTGGGCAAGCCGCTTCTCCCTTAGCCTCAGTTTCCTCCTCTGTAAACTGAGGGCCGGTGTGAACTCTAATTAGATAATGGTGTGTGAAAGGTTTGACTCGATGCCCGGCCCACGGTAGGTGTCCTACAAAGGTCAGCACTGGCCACTGCCCCTGCCATCTGTGCTCTGAATCAGTGCACTGTGCTCCTCACCTTGAAGGATCTGGTGAACCCACCCCCACATGACCTCTCCAGGCCCCAGGCTCCTTATCTGTCTAATATTGCTGCTGTCTAACTGTCCCCTGCCCACCCCACACAAGCTGAGCCTGTACGCAAGAAATCTTGTCAGCAAGTTACTGTAATTACCAGGGTCCTGTCAGTGGGCCCTGGTGTTCCCAGTTAGTGCCTCTTGGGCAAGTAGATGGGCTCCAGAGTCGGCCTGGGCTGCTTGGCCTCTAGTCAGTGTCTGAGCTCACCCTGTGGTCCCCACTGTGCCCTGCCCAGAGATGAAAGAGTGCTGTCCTTCTGTCCTTAGAATGTGGGTTCTGCTACAGCTGACCGGGCGGCATGCCCCTTCTGGGAGCCTTCGTGCCTTGGTTTACCCATGCACGGTCAGACAGACTGACCTTTACCCACCATGAAGAAACTCACTGGAGAGTGTCCATCTGTCTGCCTGTAAAGCACTTTGAGATCATGAGATCTTAGAGGGCCAGAGGCTAGAACACACATATACACACATGCGCACACATACGCCTGTATACACATGGGTGCACACACATGCACACCAGCACATGCACACACACAATCTCAGGATATCGCTCAGGTCCTAGAACAGAAAAGAAGGAGTAAGTGAAACCTTTTGAAAGGTGAAAATAGATTCCTTTCTTGAGGAAAATGTTGTAAGGTAGATGTTTCTTGAGTTTGCTGACCTAACCTTCAGGTCTAAAGCAAACCGGAAAACAAAGCTGCTAGAGACAAGTCACCCCGAAAACAGGGAGAAGTGGCCAGCAGTCTGGAAGAAAAAGAAGGAAAAAACTCTAAAACGCAGAACTGAGTTCAAGAAGCAACTCATCAGGGCCTTTTAGCATCCGGGTCGGTGTCTGTGGCCATTGGGCTCAGCCCCTGTCTGGTTCTTACTGTGTGGCCTGTGGATGGCCTGAAATGCTCCAGCCAGGCTGGGATGCTCACCTCTCTGTCAGAGAAGGAAATACATGCTGCATTGAAGAGAGATTTCTACCCTGGGTAGTAAGGATTTATATTTAAAAAAAAATAAAGGGGCGCCTCGGTGGCGCAGTCGGTTAAGCGTCCGACTTCAGCCAGGTCACGATCTCGCGATCCGTGAGTTCGAGCCCCGCGTCAGGCTCTGGGCTGATGGCTCAGAGCCTGGAGCCTGTTTCTGATTCTGTGTCTCCCTCTCTCTCTGCCCCTCCCCCATTCATGCTCTGTCTCTCTCTGTCCCAAAAATAAATAAACGTTAAAAAAAAAAAATTTTTTTTAAAAAAAATAATAAAGGTGCCCAAAAGTCCAAACTTCACTTACCTAGGTTCTTTACTAAATAGAGGGACCACTGGCAGGACGGAAGGTGCCTCCTCACGTGTTCCCTGGAGCCTTCTGCATGTGACCCTACACAGGCCATGCAGGTTAACTCTTTCTATGAGTGACCTGTCTGTCTGTGAAAGCTCCTGGGACACAGTGATGTGTCCCCAGCACCAGCCTGAGGATGGAGGGCTGGCTTCGCTGTATCTCCTCTGTCGGAACCCAGGCAGCCGTAGTGGCCATCCCCTCCCCAGGCTGGATCCCAGCTGCCCTCCCTGGACCCCCCTTGTTTCCCCAGTGAGGTCACAGCCAGCTTCAGTGGGTTTGTTTGGTTTTTTTCCTGCGATTTTTCTATCATGGCAAAATACACATGATGTGAAATTTACCATTTTAACCCCTCTCAAGTATACAGGTCAGTGGCATTACATCCATTCACACTGTTGTGCACCCATTACCACCATCCATCTCCAGACCTCTTCATATTGCAAAACTGAACCTCTAGAGCCGTTGAATGGGAACACCACCCCCACCATAAGTTCCCCACTCTGGCCCCTGGCAACCACAATTCCACTGTCTCTGTCTCTGTGAATTTGAGTGCTCTATGGAGCTGCGGTACTGGAATCCACCATAGACGTCCTTCTGTGACTGGTGTATTTCACTGAGCATAATGTCCTCAAGGCTCATGCCTGTACCAGAATTTCCTTCCCTTTTAAGGCCAAATAATACTCCATTGTATGTATACAGCACACTTTTCAGCAGATTTACCTTTGCGTTTAATCCTCACTCTGGTACAGAGTCCCCCGAATGAACCTTGGACAGGCTGCCCTCTGATCCTGCACGGTGGAGGGGCCTGTGCAAAGTGCAACTGACACAGAAACCCCAAAGATGAATAAAAGTGGAGCCACTCTGACAAGAGGCCTCCCTCACCCCCCACAGCCAGCCCTCCTGCCCCTCAAAAGAATTCCAGGGCCTTTAAACCAGTTTGAGGGGCGCCTGGGTGGCTCAGTCGGTTAAGTGTCTGACTCTTGATTTCGGCTCAAGTCAGGATCTCACGGTTCGTGAAATCAAGCCCTGCATCAGGCTCTGCCCTGAGAGCGCGGAGCCTTTTGGGGACGCTCTCTTTTCCTCTCTCTCTCTGCCCCCCTCTCTCAAAAATAAACAAAGAAACTTAAAAAAAAAAATTTTAAAGCCCAGTTTGGAAATCCTAAAATTCTACAAAAGGGGTTCTTAACCTTTCTTTGACCGAGGAGCCTGGAGAAGTCTGGTGTCCTCAGAGATGCCACCCCTAGTCAGAATAAAGCTTTAAAATGCATAAAATAAAATACATTGGATCACAAAGGAAGCTGATGATATTGAAATAATTAAAATAATAAAAAATGTGTGTGATAGAGTAATGTGCTTCTTTGTGCTTCTTTGTCAGCACACTAATGACAAGAACCAGCGGTCAGTCTGATAGCTGCCTTACTTGTAAAATCAGGATGAGTGAATGACTGCAACAGCTATAAAGTCGCATGAAAAAGAACCTGTCATATTTGTAATACATGTAACGGCGTTGCAGGCGACTAACACTCCTGGGGTCGGTAGCCTATGTCATGGTGAAAATGCTAACTTTCAGTTAGACAGTTGTGAACACCAAGATGTCATTGTCTTCTCATGCAAGTTCACAGAGCCCTGAGTTCTTTCCCAGATCTTTGAGAGGGAGTGGACCCCATTTTAAGCAGTCCTGTCTAGTCCTGTCTAGGACAGAGTGGGGAGGTGGCTCTCTTAAGAGAAGGTAGTAGGTGGTAGACGTAGCAGGGTTTGAGTCCCAGGCCCGTGATAGCTCTGTCCCAAGGGCATAGTTTGAACCCTAATCATGGGCGGTACCCCAGGACCTTGGCAGACAGAGCCAGGAGCTTTCTGGGACCCAGTTCCTTCCACTCCTCTGGGGAGGGGGCTTGGGCCCATGCAACGGTAACTTGGCTTTCGTCCCCCTCCCCAGGGACCCACGTGATGGAGGGCTCTGGACGGATGGTAGTGACCGCAGTGGGTGTGAATTCTCAGACTGGCATCATCTTTACCCTGCTGGGGGCTGGTGGTGAGGAGGAAGAGAAGAAAGACAAGAAAGGTAAGCGCAACCCCCTCACAGACCAGGAGAGGAGCTCTTCAGGTCACTTTTTTTTTTTTTTTTTTTTTGTCGTTTATTCATTCACTCAACAAAATAGTTATTGAGTGACTTTTATGTCCATGCCCTGTGCCAACAGCTGTCTCCTGCATCCTTGAGGCCCTGCTTGGGCCAGGAGGGTTCTGTCTGTTCCATCTCCAGGGTCTTGTCCCAGTCTCTGTCTGTCTGGTCATGTCATGGAGTACCCTCCCGTCAGGCCAGGCCCAGGGCACTGAGCACTTTGTTGAGTCTCCAGCCTTGAGTGTGACCTGGTCCCATCATCAGGCCTGATATGGAGTCGAAAGCCCCACCTGTGCTCACTCCTGCCACTAGTCTCAACTCCACAGAACAGGGCTGCAAACCCACCCAACACTGACTCAGCCCAGATGTGGGCAGAAGAGATTCTGGGGAATGTGGCCAAACTCATGGTTTCCTCCCCTATCCCCCCAGAGCTGGCACCTTGCCTGGGTTCTAGCTCCTCTGCCACTTTGGAAACAAGATTCCTACTCCCTGGGCTCCCCCTCGGTGCAGCGAGCTGGTAGCCTGGCTACAAGTGCCTCTCAGAGCAGAGGGAGGGATGCACGGAAGACCCTAGAAGCCCAGGCCCAAATCCAAAGGCCCAGGCCTCTGGCCCTTGCACAGCCAGCTCCTTACCCAACACCTAAAGTCAGTCTCAGGGACAGAACCCTCTCACATCTTCAGTCTTTTGTCCTATCTCCTTCCCCAAGCTCCAGAGGAGGGTCCACAACACCCACACCATCTGGGGTCCAGGGGAAGAAGATAAGAATGCTCTCCTTGAGTTATAGGGACAGGCCTGCTACCTCCAGCTCTCCTTGGCCAACCAGGCCCAGAGCCTGGGTCACAACCAAAGGTTGCTTGTTCCTAAGGGTAATACCTTATATTTTCTAGAAGGGTCTCCCTAAGATTATGGCAGCCCCAGCAACATGAACAGTGGAGCTAAGCTGTGATCTGAGAAATCCAGAGGTGGGAGAGAACCTGTCTCAGGAGACAGCTGAGGTTGAAGCTGAGGACACAGTCCTTGTCAAGAGCCCCAGAGAGTGTCAGGACAGTGTTCACACAGTGACGTAGAAGCTGTGGCCAGCTCTGGCCCCAGGGTACAGATGGTGGGGCAGATATGGGCAGTGGGCGGGGTATGGCAGGATGACACAGGCTTTGCCCCTTTTCTTGGCCTCCCTGGGTCCTGGGTGAGGGGCAGAAGCACCCAGAAGCTCCCACAGGCCAGACCAGTGTCCTCAAAGATTTCAGTAGGAAGATGGGCCTCTCCCGCCCGGAAGCACAGGTCAGAGCCCTTTACTGAACACACACCTATGGCCCAGTGAGATGGGGGTGTCAGTGTAGAAGGAAGAAGTGGGATGTGGGAGGACAGGGCAGAGGAATATATGGGGCAGCCCCACCTCTCAAGCCCCTGTGAGCAGCACGGCCAGGGCTGGGCCCCCTCTGCATTCCCATTTCATCACCTCCACCAGGGTCATTGCTTAGAGCCTGCCAACCACGGGCCCCCATTTCAGGATGACCACAGGCGTGCAGCCGGGCGTGTGTGTGGGTGCGTGTGGGTGTGTGTGTGCGCGCGTGCGCACAGATGAGGCTGGATGTGCTTCTCCTTCATTAACGTGTCTCAAAAATCATCACACAGGTGTGAAGAAGGGGGATGGCCTTCAGCTACCAGGTACAGTAAGACACCCCTCAGGGTAGATGGGGCTTTTAGAAATAGCAGCAGCCTTCGAGCACTGAGCCCTGGCCCCAAGCCTCCAGCACACAGCTGGAGGAGGCTCCCTGACCCACCAGACCCTCCACTGTGCCCCCACGCGATGCCAGCCCCACGGGAGGAACCGGCGCCTCACTCTGCCCGTTTGCCCTTCCAGACCTTCACCCTGCCAGCCCATGCACATGGCGCCACCACACGGCCCGCAGCCCCACACACTGGCATGTAGTGCCCTGCTCACCACCCTGTGACCCCACAGCCCTGCTCTCCTGTGCACACCCCACAGAGCCTGTCCCAGCTCCCCTCACCACTCAGCATGTGCCCCCCGCCCGCTAGTGTCACTTCCCTCTCCTGCCCACTCAACCCATTTCCCCACGCCTAGAAAGAACAACCAGAGTGGATTTGAGCATCTCATGTCATTTGTAATTTGTAAACTAAGGGAAACTTGCTAGTACCTTCTCTGTCTCAGGCACAATGTGTGACATGCTTGGTATCACCTATTAAATGATGGGGCATCTCGTAGGGGGTTGACCAAGGCGATCTTTTGAGTGCTGGTTAGGAAGGAGGAGGTGGCCGCAGGCAGTGGCCTGAGTCAAGGGCTTGAATCCTGAGTCACCACCACGGCTGTTCCATGTTCCACTGGGACGCAGTGATGGCAGTCATAGCAGATACCCAATCAGAATGCCCACACTGCACCCATTACTGAAGGTTTGGAAATGACTCCTGGCCATGGGTCCCTCTGGCCCTGACGGGCAGCCAGATGCCCTCTCATAGAAGCTCCTGTGACGGGGACTTGCCCGATTGGCATGGCCAAGGGGTGCATCCTACCCAACCACATTGATCATCTGCCATGTTTTATTTCAAAGACCCTCCATGTCTGAGTTTTTTACCCTGATTTTTACGGCATCTCTATGGGAACATTTCACCCCCGCCCCCAAATTTGAGTTTCTTGATTTCCAACAGAGATTTTTTTTTTAAGAATATAGTCATGTTATCTCCCGCAAGTTGGTTCATGTCTTTATTGTTGTTGCTGTTCTGCATTGTTGCTTTTCTCCATTGTGACACACTGCATTTTCCATCCCTCCCACCCCCACAGCGGCCGATGGTGCAGCAGGCTCAAATGCTGTAGATAGTGCAAATACCAGCCTAGTCAATGGTACGTCTTCGATGGCGAGCGCTCGGTCTCGGTTGGATGGGCGTCTCTCTCCCCCACCCCCAACTCTGGGCTTGCCTCTCCCTGTTCTGGACCGCACAGATCTTGGATGTGCATGGGCAGCTCTGGGACAATCGTCCTCTCACGTGGGGCAGGCGCTTAAGAGAGAAGCCACCACCGGGGAATCCGCTCCGCACCCACTTGCGGCTGCCAAAATGGCACTGGCTCCTGGTGGGCCCTCAACCCCCAGTGGAGCCCAGAAGAGGGACATAACGTTGGCTTCAGATTTGACTCCCAAGAAGCAGCATCCCACCCGGCGTGGCCCTCTCCTAAGTACATTCCTGGCCCCAGCTTGGGGAAGAAGGCCTGGGGTCAGGACCTGGGCTGAAGCTGGCATCTGGGTCCCTAGTGAAGTCTCCAGTCCTTGGCTCGAAAATTCCCTCGAGGCAGGGGGGACCCAGGCCGGGGTTCAGCCCCTTGGCCCCACCCCATAGCATGGCTGAGCCACAGATAAACATTTCTTCCTCTTCTCTTTCACGGAGTGAACGGGCAGGGGGCTCGCTTGGGCTCGGGCCTGGTTCTGTCCCTCGGACGTGGACTGGTGTTTCCTGCTGTTGCCTGTGCTGGAGCATTTGTCCTGAGTCTCTGCATTCTTATGGGCCCCTCGGGGGTGGGG